GGGGCCCAGGGCCCTACCATATAGTACAAGATAAAGCCCTAAAAAGTGGTTTTAGTCTAATATAAGCAACCAAAACAAACATTTTCAATGATCCGGCCCTGTGTGGCGCAGTTTTTTTTTCACTTATAGTGGAAACTCAATCATAAATCTTAGTTTTTCTAAGAAGTTTCGTCTTATGATCTATGATGTCCCAAGGTGTCCACCCCAAAATTTGAATCTGATCAATGACTACTGATCAACTTCTGTAGGAGTGTCCAATCCTGCTCCTGGAGGGCCACTGTCCTGCAGAGTTTAGCTTCAACCCCTATTAAACACACCTGAACAAAGGTAATCAAGGTCTTCAAGATTACTAGAATCTTCCAGGCAGGTATGCTGGGACAAGTTGGAGCTAAACTGTAGGATGTTGGCCCTCCAGGACCAGGATTGAACACCCCTGACCTTATGGTTAACATGTGGTACAGTATGGTATCACTCGTTGCCTGTAGTAGCAGCCGGTCTGTGCCGAATGTGGACTCGCAAAAAGTGGTAATTCAAGCTTGAATTGCTCCGATTGTAGGAAAAATCCTTATTATGGTATTTACATAAGGGTCAGGAGGTATGATTAATTGGATTCATTTTTATCACATTATTTTTTTTTTTTAATTACTCACACTAAATTAGTGTATTAAACTGACAGCCCGGATTCTAAGACAAATGGCCTCCATCATTAAACAAATTGACATCTGTTGGAAAAAAACGAACCATTAATTCTCAGTTCTAAAACGAAGCAAATTAAAACCCAGGACACAACATGCATGCATAATACAAGCTGCCTTATCAAAGCATGGATCACCCATGGATGGGAACTGTAGACACTGACATCTTTTCAAGAGAGACGTATCTCTGGACAGCCACCTTGTCCAACCCATCTACTGTACATGGGAACACTTCGATCAGTATTGATGTATTGACGTAAAATTAGATAATATACAATTTTGAATTAACACGCAGATGGTTCCCAACCATTTCCCTTCGTCTTCAAGAGAGATCCACACTGCCCTTCTTTGTTTTCTATTCCTATCAGCCACTCAAACAGCTGTTACAGTTTAAAGAGGTCTCATTCAGCAAAACAGAAACGCTAAAATCGCCAGTTGCCATAATGGTTCCATGACAGTGTTGGCAGTTTGGCCTTTTCCTGGAGTTCACCCCGGATCCTTCCCAAACACTGGCCACTAACAGGGGGTTTCCATTGCCGCTGAAAGTGCCGGCTATTTTCAGAGCTCCTTTGCCCTAGAGCAGTGGGAGCTTTTCTCCTGACAGCTGTCTTCACCCTCTCAAGCTGCTGAACACATGGAAATACAGCTAAATGGCGTCATGTGCTGCTAGCTCATCACTAGCACTCTCAAACTACTGGACCAAGCACCTCCCCGAGGTTCCGCAGTCTTATATCACCAACCAAATTCGCTGTTTAACTGCAGTCGGCACTTTTGAACTCTAACAGATCCGGATGAGGGCACTGAAGCTATTAGCTGCCGTCCATCTTTCTGATGGAGAGACTGGTGAAGACGCACCGCCAGTACTGGCAGAGGGATGAGCTGGTGTCAGGTGAAGTTTGTGAGAGAGAATTGGAGGGGTAGGAGCCCAGAAACATCATGTCTTCAGTCATCCTGAAACATAATCAATATGTGTTTTACGACCTGCGTCTCTCTGCTAAATTAAAAGAAATGTTAGACGGATGAAACTTTGACGGAGTCCCGCCTTCATCGCAGATCGTCAGCCAAGTGCTCCATCATTCCATTAAATATGCTGTCTTGATTTCGCTGGGAGAATGGTCTTCCCTTTTCAGTACCTACGTTCCCACAGCGTGCACAGATGATCCTTGGTCTTCATGAAACTGAGGCCATCAAGATGCTTTCATGGCTTCCTCCTTGAATAAATCTCTGAGTGTATTAATGAACAAATAATCATGCCAATCAGGATATAATTTGCTTATTCTCTGTAGGGTTGCGGTTATTAGTTTTATATTATAAATAATCACTTTTCAAGATTCATTTAAATATCTTCATAATCTTTAAGAAGATTCAGCTGCAAATGTAGCCTTGTAAATACTTTTTCAAGCAACATATAAATTGCAATTCATTATATTGAATGTTTTAATAATGCCTGATTTTAAAGGCCTCTTGAAAAACAAGCATAATCACTTTCCAGATCTGACAGTGCTGACATATTTCTGGGAAGGACATATCAAAGTGTTCCTTCACTCTTTTTTAAAAAGCCAATAGGCTTTATGTCACAGCACTAAACCATGATTTGGTACATGTTGCTAGTCAGTGATATAAGAGAAGCGATATTTTAATTTCATTCTAGGGAACATTTGATTTGACATACTGAGTCAGCAATATCTTTTGGTCTTTTGACAAACAAACAAACTGTAATAGATAAAGCGTAAAAATCTGTATATTGCTACCTTTCACTTCACAAAATGATAGTGGCTATTTTAAAGGGATAGTTCACCCAAAAATGAAAATTGTCATCATTTACTCATTCTCAAGTAGTTCCAAAACTGTTTGGGCTTCTTTCTTCTGTTGAACACACAAAAAAAGCCATTGCCAGTAGTTGTAGCCATTGACTTCCATAGTGTATTTTTGGAAGTCAATGGCTACCAGCAACTGTTTGGTTACTGACATTCTTCAAAATATCTTCTTTTGTGATCAAAAGAAAAAAGAAACTCAGAAAGAAACAGTTTTGGAACTTCTTGAGGGTGAGTAAATGATTACAGAATTTTCATTTTTGGGTGAACCATCACTTTAAAGGCTTGTTGTCAGGATGTCCTTCTTCACTGGCTAAAGATTAACTAATCACATGGCGTTTACAGCTCAGGTGACTACCTTAAACAACTTATCTGGAACTGAGTGCATATGAGTGGAACGGCAGAATTCAATTCACATACTTCAGGGAGGGGTCCTGCGTCAGCCGAGCAACTGCCATTGAGATAAATCACAGTGCAAACGGATAGATCTCACCAGGTATTATAAACCTCCTTGTCTTGCGCATATTTATCAACATCTACTTTTCAGCAAATAAGGTAGAACCAATTGATATTCATAAGCCAGTTGATTTTATAATCGGCCCCCCACTATTTTTCAATCCTACACCATTGCACACTAGTGCTGCGATTTGCTAAAACCAACACATAAAAATGCAAAACTATTAGAGTAGTGCTCATCACGTACCCAAATTAACTGGAAAATATTATAATCCACAGCATTAAGAGGCAAAGGGGGGCCATATCACACACATCTTATCTGCTGTTAGTGAGAGGAGGAAACACAAGGCCACATTAAGGATAACGCTGGATGCCAACAGCACACGCCAGCTCATTGTCATTCACAATCCAACTGTGCCATATCACTAGAGCCATAGCAACGGACTAACCGACCGAGGGCTCGTCTCTGCAGAAATAAAACCATTGAATCCTGTTAAAGCGTGTCGATGCTGTCGCTTTGACAGACTTTGTATGGAATCATTATTAATACTTAAGATAATTTATCATTGCCTTTTCCTATTTTAGAAGAGAGACGGTGGTCTGAATTAATTTTATAATTTTTAAATTAATTTATTAGTTATTTTTGACCGCAATATTTCACAAATTTAGTGTTTTTATTTTATTATTGGTCAAATAAATGCAGCCTTGGTTATCATAAGTGATAACTAGTACATCTTACCAACCCAAACTCTTGAACGGTAGTATAATTTCATAAATTAATCTTCGGTGTCCACAGTTTTCAAATTAAAGACATATGGAAAACATTTTTTATCTACAATAGCAACAAGCAGATAATACTATAATATTATTGTATGTTTATATTAAAATATAATTAAAAAAAAATTCAAATCACAGCAAAGTCTCACCATTTATGCATTATTAAACATTTTCATATTGCTTCAAAAATAAGAGCCGACGAATCAGATTAATCAGAATTAATAACAACTGTGATTATGCAAATAAACATATTTTATCAACAAAGTAGTATTTCCTTCTTGACTCATTATTTAAAAATGGACTATTTTCAAATTAAAGACATATGGAACACATTTTTTATCTACAATAGCAACAAGCAGATAATACTATAATATTATTGTATGTTTATATTAAAATATAATTTAAAAAAAATTCAAATCACAGCAAAGTCTCACCATTTATGCATTATTAAACATTTTCATATTGCTTCAAAAATAAGAGCCGACGAATCAGATTAATCAGAATTAATAACAACTGTGATTATGCAAATAAACATATTTTATCAACAAAGTAGTATTTCCTTCTTGACTCATTATTTAAAAATGGACTATTTTTCTTTTTTATTACAAATAACATGTATTTATGAGATGAATACTGAACACCACTCACTGAATTAAACATGCAAATGATGAAGTCATGTTGCATACTAATGTTTGAAATATTTATCACTGCAAAATACATACTCAATGAAAAAGTCTCAATATTATTTAAAAAAATAAATAAAATAGAAGGCAGTTCGCAGCAAGCAGTATATTAGTATTTTATTCCAAACATAGCTTTGCCTTTTGAGGAAAACAACCCCCCATTATTAGTCTGCTTGTCTGCTAAGGGCAGACTGCAGTGTGTTCCTTTGTGACTGACCTACTTCTTATGCCGCATACGAGGTGATAAACATCTTCCTAAATAGCTAAACCTCATTAGCAAACACTACCTGAACGCACTCCGTATGTCAGCAGAGCATCTCAGCATGTACAAAGGTCTCTCCGGATCATTTAATGATCAGAAAGCATGTTAATGCTGCTCTCTGCCTCTCTGAACCAAAAGATAATGGTTGCCACATCATCAATAATGTTGACGCAGACGTGTGTTGTTGACTCTGTGAAGCCCGACTATACGACTATTTGCACTGAAGTACTTTCTGACAGGGCCTGTCATATAGATGGTCACATTTCCTGTTTGCATGCTGTAGATATGTGCACATGTACAAATTTGTACTCACCCTTTTCTTAAGAGCTTCTAGGGAGTCAAACTCCAGCTTGGCTAGTTTGACTTGGATATGTTTAGGAACATCTGGAATGACGAATGCCAGGATGAATTTGAAGGCAAGGAGAACATGCTGCAATAAACAGAAAAAGACAACTTTACAACACAGTTTTCATGGACTATTATTATGTAATTGTCTCTATGTAATATAATTAAGTGCTAATTACACCTCAAATATCTTTTATGATGTGTATACGTTTTGCTAGTCATACTTGAAAATGTCTAATTCCACACTGATCAATGTCATTTAATGGAGAGGCTTTTTTTACAATGTGAACCAGTCAGTCATATTGAATGGCTGGATGATCTTTATGGCTCTCTATGTGTTCAAAGGCCACATTAGTGGTATGTATGCTGCTGGCAGAGTGTCATCTGTCATTGCTACTCTAGTGTGTTAAATAAATCACCATATGCCCATTGCCTCTGAAACCAGCTCGCTATTCACCTTTGTGTGATCCAAAGAGATCTAAAGAACTCTTGATGGTTTAAGTAAATGTATTTCTGTTAAATTGATAGTTCACCCAAAATCCTGTCATCATTTACTCACCCATAAGCCTTTCGTCCATCTTCTAAACACAAATGAATGTATTATAATGAAACCACAGGGATTTCTGTCCCTATAGATTCCCATTCCACCAAAACTTCAAAAATTGCATAAAGACATTGTAAAAGTAAATCATATGAATAAAGCAGTTCAATCGAAGTCTTCCCGAAGAGACACAATCACTTCATACGATGAACAGATTTGATGTAAGCTTTTAATTTAATATAAACATTGATTAGCACATCCTACATGGGAGTACATCAAAGATGGTAAACATGAAAGCTCAAAAGTACTAGTTTGACGTGCGAGAACAAAAAGAAGTTCAATCAAGCTTGCGTTACATGTGAGAACAATGAGCATGCGAGTCAAGCATGCTCATATGAGCTTGTTTACCATATTTGATGAGCTCTATGTATGTTTATATGTGAATGAATGTCTAAATGAAATCTATTCATTATATAAAGTCATTGTGTCTACTCGGAAGACTTGGATCAAACCGCTGTATTCATATGGATTATTTGTACAATGTCTGCTTTTTTGAGCATTCAAAGTGTTGCTTGAATGGATCGTTCAAAGAAAAGACAAATCTCTCTCTCAAAAACTTGAATTTCAAAAATGAAGAAGTGTAATGGATTTGGAACAACATGAGGGTGAGCAACTGATGACACAATTTTCATTTTTAGGTAAACTAACCTTTCAAACATTTCTTAAATGTAGCACAGTTGAATCATGTGATGACGGTCTATAAAATTCACTATAAAACTGCATTTGTCTCAATCTCCCTGTTAGTCAGCTATTGTTGACTAATGTGGAAAATGCACCAGCTCTGCTTTGGATGCAGCAGTTTAGCTCAGATATCAATGATCAGTGTCAACACTCTAAAACGCTCCTGAAAGTCAGAGAAGAGACATTAGCTAAAGCTGTGACTGATGGAGACAAAGGAGCCCCTGGGACTCATTAACAGATCTCTGTGAACACCAGAACAAAATCTGCTCTTCTTCTGTTGATGACATAAAGTAGGATTATAAATGATGTAGTGAAAGGGTGAATATTTTGATGTTGGTTGGGAAATACACCAAAATCCAAATCGCTCTTGAGACTCTGGGCCGTTTACAAGCACAAACTTTCACATAGTTCCTTATCTGAACTTAAATGACCCAGATTCATATAAATATATGAATCATTACACCCATGATCCATAAATATGACAGCAACTTTAGCATTGGGTGAAAGCACTTTTTTTTCAGTTTTGAATTAAATTAATTCATAGTTGAAATTTAGTCAACTACATCTGCCATATTGAGTACCTTTTTCCACTGTGCTTGTTGCAATGCTTTTCTGAGATTGCCTTATCTGTGCAGGAAATTCAAGATTCTGGTGCAGTCATATTAATGAAATTTCTGCAAACTTTTGCAGGCAATTGTTCATTTTCAAGTGTAGCGATGCATGAAGCACCTCTCAAGCAAAAGTCAATTTTAAGCCAAGTTGCTTTCTGTTGGTCGTTTCAGTGTGACCAGCTTATATTCAATGCAAAATATGTGGAAATCTTTCACTCTCGTAAGATTGAGTAGATTCATATTACTAGATTAAATTACTGATATTGAATTACTGAAATTAATAGATTTCACATGTGAAAAGTTGCTGAACATTGGTAAATGTGGCCACTTTAAGATTTTGGTTAAAACAAGGTACATTATAATGCAGCATCATTTTGGGACTCACTAGAATATATAACTATAGATGTTAGTATATAGTATATAACTCACTAGAATTTTGGAACAGAACTCCTGTGTTCATATGAAAATTGATAGCAAATGTTCACCAGCAAACCTAAGGAAACACTCTACACAGACAAGCACAGTCTCCTGCAGGGCGCTGCCTAAAACAAGCTGAGAGCATGTGCAGAAGTGTGACTCAAAATGATGTTGCATTTGAGAATGAACTGAGGAAAATGCCACCCTCTCTTCAGGCTGATTGCTGTCTGAGTGAGAGGGGTGTGATGCAGAGACTGAGAATCTCAGATCTGATATAACGAGAGAACAAAGCCCAGATTATTTGTGTAGTCACGTTTTTCTCCAATGTCTTTACCAGACAATTGTGTCATTACAGCAACCAAACAGACAAATATGGAATCGTTTGAATAGGTAAGCAGAACCCTAATAATAAAATCAATATATACAGTATATTGATCTTATATCAATATAGCTGCAAGCAGTGATTATTAGGGTTCAAATGCTTTAAGGCACTTAAGCACTTATGAAAAAATATATTACATATTATTTAGCAAGTCTGTAACTACCTAAATCAATCATTTAAAATAGCATTTTGGAAAATCCAGGTAATTTGCCATAGAAATATGGTGATTTTTAATGATTATGACTGTTATAGCGCCACCTGTGATCCGATCTCCATCAAACTTTGCATGCTTGTTTAGAATCACCTGTCACATGTGCTCACCTAGTTTCGTGAAGTTTTAAGTTTTCGCTTAGATTTTATAGGCTTTTGGGTATATTTGGACACACCCCTTTTCTAAACGACCCCGATATAGCAACCCAAAGGGTTAAGTTCAACATTTTTTGATAATTATTGACCTAGAGAGTTCAGAGAATTGTACAGCAGTGTTTTTTTTCCATGACTAGGTTTTTTACATATTCTCAATTATTTAACAAACAATTTGATTGACAGCAGTGGTTATAGAGACAAAGTTGTTTGGAATGAGGAGGTCTATCAGATGATATAAATATTGTGTGTATGTGTGAAAAATGTGTAATATGCAATCGTTTATGCCCTTGAAAAACGTGATATCGCCCCCAGTGGCCGATTTATTTCAAATTTCTCACAGACCATGAGTCAAACAGGTCCACTGAGTTTCGTTCCGATTGACCTCCGTTAACCTTAACAAGTGCTCAAACTTCATTTGCCAATGGCGGCCATGTTTTTTTTAGATACGCAAATGTCCTTAAAGACACCTGTGGCACTTTGGACAATGACACTGCATACCAATTTTCATGTTGATCGAAAAAATGGTTGCGTAGTTATAGCCATTTTTATGTTTTTTACCCCTCTTATAGCTCCAAGTGATCAAGGCTCCGTGATTTTTTTCATGTGTTATATATGTTATATATATGTCATGCGACGATATCTCATTCCGTTAAAAAAGTTATAGCCATTTTAGTAAAAGTGGCCCTGCCCCTTCCCTTTGCGAATTTTTTTTTTTTGGTAATTATTGATATTCACTCTCCAGAGAATCTTTTTACACTGGTTTGGTTCCGATCGGGCGAAAAAGCTAGGACTAGTTCGCAAAAGCAGGTTTTTCAAAAAATCCAAAATACCCGAAACTTTCGTCATGTGAATCCGAGCCATGCGTTTTGTCCGTCGTGAGCCAAGGATTCCAACTACATAAGGCACTTGAGCCTGCAACTAACAGTTTAGGAGTTCTGAGCGAATTTGTACTTTTGATTGCTGTAGCGCCCCCGTCAGGCCAATTTGGACAAGCCTTGGTTACGTTGTAGACGGTGTGACTACTACGATCCCTCCAAGTTTCAAGTCTCTATGACTTACGGTATGGTCTGCCTGATCAGTTTTATGTGGAGATCCTTGGCCATTCTAACAATTACAATAGGTTTTCAGCACTACGCACTTGAACCCCTAAAAAGCTATCAGAGACTCAAATATGAGTACTCCGGTATAGAATAGAATAGAACAGATGTTAATTCACCATTGTTTAGCTAATTTTACCAGGCGAAATTCACTCATTTCAATAAGAATCCACGCAAATTAGAATTTTGTGTGAGGGCGAAAGATTTCTCCATCTGTTGTTGACCAATAGAAAGCTGTTTGGCTTTTGTATGAGCTGTGCTTCATGAATCGCTACACTATTGACATTGGACAGTGGACCTATTTTTCCCACAAAAGTTCACCAAAATGTTGCTAATACGAAGACAGAACACTGTATTGCACTATAATATAATAATGTAGTAAAAAGCATCATGAGAAAGGAGAGGGTACCACCCATGATTCGTTCAACCTGTTGATGACCAATCTCATGTGTGACCCATGAACTGGAGGAAAATGTGTGTCGGAGAGGTGTCAGAGTCTTTCCAGGCTAGCCATCATCTGCTTTAAGACACAAGTGGAACGGAGTGAAAGAGAGTGTAGTGGCCAGACACATCTGATCTTGCAGCATGTCAGACATGATTAGGGTGTCATGCAACAGCACAGACTTCAGTAAAGCAGCCCTGGAAGAGCCTGTCTGCCAGTTAACATGAGCACTCGCTGGGTGGGGTGTACACAAATGCACACACTCTCATTGTGTCCGATTGCTAATTTAGCCACTGACATCTAGACAGTCGCAGTCAAATCAGAATATATGAAAACCATATTTGCCCTGTTATAATCCTGTAGAAAGCCATGCTGCAGATAATGGCAAAATTCACAATGAGAGCTTTTCATAGTATAGTACATCAATAAAACCACACAACGTCAGATTACAAAAATATGTGCCTAATTGGTGCAGGCATGTAGGCCAA